GCATGAATGCATGTATGTATGCATGTATGTATGTATGTATGTATGTATGTATGTATGTATGTATGTATGTATGTATGTAATGTATGTAATGTATGTATGTAATGTATGTAATGTATGTAATGTATGTATGTATGTATGTATGTATGTATGTATGTATGTATGTATGTATGTATGTATGTAATCATGTATGTAAGTATGTATGTATGTATGCATGTAATCATGTAATCATGTATGTATGTATGTATGTATGTATGTATGTATATGTATGTATGTATGTATGTATGTATGTATGTATGTATGTAGGTAATGTAATGTAGTGTAAGGTAAGGTAAGGTGATGTAATGCATGGCATGGTAACCATGTATGCATGTATGAATGTATGAAGGTATGAATGTATGCATGGATGCATGTATGCATGCCTGCATGCATGCATGTCTTTATGTGTTAATGTAAAGTACTGTCACCTGGTGTAATGTAACTTCATGTAATGAATGTACGTATGCATGTACGCATGTCTCTATATACATATATATACACACATACAACCGCTGCATTATACATATATACATATATGTGTAATGTATACACATGCTACATAGGTGTACATATGTACGAAGACGAGTAGACATTGTAAGAACCACGATTGGCGACAACAGGAATGACAACGTGGTTTTGTATTGTAGTGTTCAAGACCACAGCATGGTCGCCGCAGGAACAGTAGTAGCAGTACTTCAGAACGCCTCTATCCGCTTGGCCATCGTTTGTCAAAACAAATCTTGAGCGAGAAGCAACACCGTAGTAGGACCGGGGCAAATCATGGCACATCAAACATTTTGTGAATAGAAATCTTGCGACTGTCCTCATCGGAAGGAAGTGGCGGGCGTTTCGGAAGTTCTGTGTGAAACGATTCTCCAGCTCGGACGACTTCCTGCAGCATCGCGGTCCAATTTCTGCATGTGGGAATTTAAGGGACTGTCCTGAGCATCCCAGGAGGGACCCAGGTTCATAGTAGCTGACGTAATCACACCTGTTCATGATGTTTGGGCTCAGCGGTTTAGGGTTTGGGATAGGGGCCATGCCCCCTGAAAGGACGAGTACCGTTCCAGAGCAACATGGCTCCAAGTTAAATCTTCAAGACCCAGACGCCCAGAAACCTGCGGCCTTAAGCAAGTAATCCACAACCCTCGTGGCCGTGGTCCTCGAAGCCCCACGCGGTGGGCTGGCAGCTGCGAAGGCCGAACATCAGCGTCAATTCGCCGTCGTGCTGGCCGGGTGATGTCTTCTATCAGAAATACCAGTAAATCGACCAAACGTCGTAGCGTTTGGAAGCAATTGACTGATAAATCGTAGGAACATATATAGGGTCCTTTTTCATGGATTGACTGAACTAGAACCGCTCATTTTGACCAAGCGCTGGGGGTCGACATCAAGCCTTCCGACATGGATGCCCAGGCAACTTTCAGCTTTGGCCACCGCCATGGAGCAGCTTAGATTGATGGGCGGTGGGTTTATGGCTTATGGCTTATAAGGGTTCTATATAGGTCGTACGGGTTTTATATCGGTTTCAAGGGTTGAGGTTTCGGGTTGGGATATGGTCAATTTAAGAACGATCTGCAAGTTTTCGTGGCATTTTTCGGTGCCTACGTGTGTCTGGCATTCCCTTATCCCTGTTCCGGGTTGCAATGGTTATATATTGTTTTGGCACGGACTATTTGCTAAAGGCTGTTGCTTTGTGGCGTCCCTTCCTGCTGACGCGTTGCCACCCTTGCCTAAATCCTTATCACAGTTGCCTCTATCGTAAGCCTTTTGGTAGTAGCCGCTAACAAACCCCTTAAGGTGACCCTTATATGCAACCCCTAAAGCCTTAAAGCAAGCCTACAAGCTCTCGCCCAGTGACCTCTCGATCCCGGAGACCAACAAGAAGAAGCCGAGGGTCGAAGCGCTCTCCAAGGCCCGGGCTTTTCGTTCAAAAGCACGGAAAATAGCTGAGCGTTGGGTCCCGGGGCGAAAAATCCATCGATCTATTCAGCTATCTATCGATCTATCTATCTATCCCCATCTCTCCAAACTATGCCGATTGTGTCGATGTCGCCAGTTTCCATTCCAGGCTTTAGTGCTCGGCTTTCAGGTCAAGCTTCGGGTTTAGGGTTTGTGGTGGAACGGATGTTGACTTGACTGGATGGATCCGTGCTTCACCGGGTGAAGAGTTGGTTGTTCTGACGCTGGTGCCTTCTTGTTGAAGGCAGAGTTTGAGACTGTTGAGGCTCGCTGTTCGGAGCGGCGAGGGGAGGCCATTGTCAACCCAGCATTTTTCAAAAGAGATTGACTTGGAACACCGGTCCTTAGTCCTTGTCCTGACTCGTTCTCCATTAGCTGAAGAAGCCTGCGTAGCCATGTAGGGCGCATAAGTCGCACACTATCATTGTCAAACGCAGGCTGTATATCAGCACCGAAGCATAAACTTTTCGGCGGGACATCCCAACCTTTATTGGTTTGTTTGTTTGCGAAGGGGATATCCGAGCACTTATGGTTTTTGTTTAGGTGCTTTTTTGGGTCTCTAGTATAAAGCTTGCGTTCAATTTTCACCCACGTTGGTTTGTGACGCTGAACAGGTCGAGTTCCTCCTTGGCATGATCAACTCGGGTTGGCCCGGGGAAGACAGGGTGGCTTCGCTGGCATTGGGAGGGGAATTGTGGGCTGGAGGTTCCAGCTTCGGGGTTGAAAGGCACGGCTGTTCTCTTGGATGTTCCCCTCCATGGGCATGCGATGTGGGTTTGAAGCGCTTCTTACATGCTGCGTGGCTGTCTGCGCTGCCTGGCTTGTTGCCAGGACCTCGACGAAATCTGGATCACCCTGCGAGATGCCACCGATGAAATGCTGCGCCATGTCGAGCGTGACGGGCCAGGAGAAGTCCCCGCGGCCTTAGCGAGCCAACGGACGGATGCAGGTTCCAGGCGACTCTCCTGTTCCACGTTGTGCAGAGCAACACGGGCCTGTTGCAGGACTCGATTGGTTTGGCATCGAGCTGAGGCAAAGGACAAAACAGAGGGAATCGATCTCATCGGAGTCAATTGGGCATACTCGGTTGCACTACATCCCTGCATGGTGTTTTCCATGCAGCAGAAAGTAGCCAGCACTGGGCTTCTGCATATGTGTTTCCACTATCTCCCAGTAGAAAGCGCCTTGGGCCTTTGCTGTGCGCTGTATACACACGCGTGTTTTTGTATGTGCACATGTATGTATACATCTATCGCTAAATGCATGCATGCTTGCGTGCATGCATGCATGCATACCTGCATTCACGGGAACAGTAATGTAATAGAACATGGCAGCATGAAGTATAACATACTGTAATATCATGTACAGAGAGAGCAGGCAGATGCAGCGAGAGAGCGGGAGGGAGAGACAGTAGCCATTTTGGGTCAAGACATGTCAGAATGCCCTTGGCGATGAAGGAGCCCGCCGCAAAAGCCAAGTCGTCGCCGCTTTTCTTTGGGCCTGTTTCAACAACCGTCCCTGGAAGGTGGCCGGCATGCACAAGACGTGCGGAGAGAAGCTTTTTCAGCAAGTCCAGTGGCACGTCGGTTTTGTTCCCGCAAAGGCCTTTGGAAGCGCCGGGGCACAGAACATCAGCCTAAGGGCTCCTTTGCGCAGAGAGTCAAATCAGCGTGGCCAACACATGCGGGAGACAGGTTGTGGTCATGGCAGACGATCTGGGAGTGCTGCGGCCCGTGGATGGAGAGCCGAGTACCCGTGCTGACAGCCGCGGCTGGAAACTCCTGCAATTGCAATGATGAGGACGAACATGCAGGCAATCGGTACCAAGCTCGGCGGGCCGTACATCCTTCCCAACGTTCGTTTCCAGCTCGAGGCACCGGAGATCAGCCTGGACCAGACCATCCTCGGCGACTTTTCTGTGCTAGCTGCGGGAGTCAAGCTTCGCTGGAATGCGGCGGCCAATCCGAAGATGGACGTTGACATGTGCGTGCAGGTCTTGCAGCGTTGCCCACTCAGGCGCCTCAACAGGCTTTTAGTGCCTGTGGCTCACCACAAACCTGGCGGCTGTGGGGAAAAGGACGCGAAGCGCCGAAAGAAGGACATGAAAGCTCGTGATTATCTGCTGGAGCAGTGGAAGCCTGCCAACCGCGAGGCCATCTCCTGGAAACTCCTGCCATGATATGCATGCAGGCAATCGGTAGGCCGTACATCCTTCCCAACGTTCGTTTCCAGCTCGAGGCACCAGACCATCCTCGGCGACTTTTTTGTGCTAGCTGCGGGAGTCAAGCTTCGCTGGAATGAGGCAGGCAATCCGAAGATGGACGTTGACATGTGCGCGCAGGTCTTGCAGCGTTGCCCACTCAGGCGCCTCAACCGGCTTTTAGCGCCTGTGGCTCACTAGGGCTGGCGGCTGCAGGGAAAAGGACGCGAAGCGCCGAAAGAAGGACATGAAGGCTCCTGACACTATCTGCTCGAGCAGTGGAGGCCTGCCAACCGCGAGGCCATCTCCTGCGGATGCCGTGACGATGAGCAAGTCTGCTTGCTTCGAGGACTTGAGCTCATCCGTGACTTTACGATGCAGAGCGTTGCAAGCGGGTTGCAAAGTTGAAGCAGGTGCGCAGGACACCGCGGTTCCGAAGGAAGATTGCGAGACATATTCTGTCCAGCAGCAAGGGCTGAAGGAGAAGCAGGGCCAGCCGCCGCGATGAAGACCAGCCGGCAAAAAAAGCAGCGCATGCGCCACCAGCGAGGGCGCGGGCGCGCTGTCCATGGCCGCAAGCGCGAGCCCGGCGCGAAGAAGAAAGAAGTCCCTTCGGAGATGCCTTGTGCGCGTGCATCGCTGCTCGAAGGACGGGCCTAGTTTTGTCCGTCACCAGAGTGGTTGAGTTGGGGTATCGTGCCTTGGGTCAACTCGTCGTTGCATGTTTTTTTCTGACCCAATGTGGATGCGGGGGCTGACAGGTGATGCAGGCTGCAAGGGTGGGGGTGGGAAGGTTCAGGCAGTGCAGTTGCGCGACAGTGTCTGTTTTGAAAGGGCCTGCAGGCTTTCCCGAAATCTGGCAAAAGCTTAGCTTTCTTCATTTTTTGTTCGCATTCGTTAGTGTTTTTGCTTTTCGTTGGAATTCCTTAGTTGATCGTGGAGTTCCTTAGCAACCCCTTCCCCGGGCCCAGCCGAAAACTGAGAAAAGTTTAGCATTCTTTAGCTTTTTGGTTCTAGATTTTTTTGTTGAATTCTTTATACCTTTTCATCGGATTTCCTTGGCGTTTGTTGGTTTTTCGTGGGGCCCACGATTTTGCAAGGGGAAATCCACAAAACTCTTTGAGGAATCCTGAACAAATCCTACGATGACGGGCCAAGCAAGGGAGGCGGGAGGGAGGACGGAGGGGAGGGGGGCTGGAGTTGGAAATGGGGGGCCTGGATTTGATGACCACCCGAAACCCTTTAAATCCCTACCCTGAACCCTAAACCCCCCCTCCCTCAATGGGAATGAATGATGTCAGTGCCGTGCCCTTCGTGTTACCCGAAAGAGTGGATGACCCGGGACCCGAGTGATGAGTGCCACTGGTTCATGGCAAGGGTGATGGTTTAGGAAGGGTGTCTTTCGGGGACAGGGTTTGCACTGGCACTCGGGGGAACGCTTTTTTCCTCCCCGAAATAGGGGCCGAAGCGACGATCGGACGCGAGCCTGGGTGGTAGGCCTTCGGGCCAAAGGTCCCCGGAGGCCCTATACTATAGCTAGCTAGCTAGCAAGCAAGCAAGGGAGAGACAGAGGGAGTGATGCATACTCAGAAGTTGATGTCTTTCTGTGCCGAAAACCCCGAATGTCGGGACGCCCCTGGTGAGGTGGGGGTCTGTGTTGGGACCTTGTTGCCCCACTAGTCCTCTCCAGCCTTTGAGAAAGAGTCGCAGACATGGCCGTTGCGGAGCGTGTGCCAGGCGTGCGAGAAAGAAAAGAATGGCAAAGCAGAAGTCGCAACAGTGGTTCGTCCCCGGCCTGCAGATGGGGGCGTGTGTTCGACGTGTGTCTACCGCACCATATAGTTGGCTTATGTTTGCGAGATTGTAGTCCCAGAGCCCAAAGCCGCGGTGATGCTGCTCTCCAGCAAGGCGCTGAAGTCTCGGCAAGGCACCAACCCTTTTGTGGTGGCCAAGTGCTTCGAAAACTTCAAGACGCTTCTTGGCACAGCATGTGTTCGACTCGCCTAGCGGTTTCGATCTAGCTTCGCTTCAATCGACTTCTTCGGTCTAGGTGTAGTGCTGTTTGACCGACTCTGTCCTCGCTTCGTGCGCTTCCTTGGTTCGCGTCACCTTTTTCGGAGGTTTATGCGCAAGAAGCACGGCAACCTCATCCGAGCTTGGAGGCAGGATTTGACAGTGAACGATGCAATGTCGATGCTCTGCTGCATCTACGGCATGTTTTCACTTCCAGCCAGCAGATTTTCACGCAAACACACATACAGGAAGAATGCAACTGCATGAGTAGATAGAAACAAGTAGTGTGTGTACACACAGTCACCCCAACATACATATATGCATACATACATACATACATACATACATACATACATACATACATACATACATACACACGTACATACATACATACATACAGACATCCATGCATGCATGCATATATACAGATATTCTGATGTGCATACGTATAACATACATACATGTATGTATCTGCATGCAGACGTACATATAAATGTATACATATATGCAGATCCACAGATATACGGGTATACGTGTATACATAAACATACCTACATACTACTGCAGGACAAAAGATCGCCATACATCAGAGACGTAAGACAGAACACCACATGCCCACCCCTTCTCCCCCGTAGACTCCTAGCACAACCTCGCGCAGCTCTCCGCCGGAAACTATATAGCAGTATATTTTAAATCATTCCCGGAAATTAATTACTCCGCCACGCTGGCCACGTAAAACGGGTCTTGGGTCTCTCCGCTTCCCCGCGGTACATGTTAACGTTATTGGCAACGTAAGCTGCGTGTCGAAACTTTCGGCCTGGGGGTGTATTTACGTACATCTATGCATTTTGCATACATACATACATACATACATACATACATACATGCATCAGTAGATCCATACATCCATGCATCCAGCCATCCATGCATCCATACAAGTGAGCAGGAAAGTTTGCATGTACATGTGGGTGCATTAGATGTGCTCACTGTCCAGATCTGTCACTCTTGCCTGTACTTCGGCTTGAGGTTGTTTACATATCGGAGTACTGTCTACCTGCCTGTCTGCCTGCCTGCATGAACTTATGCAATGTGCTCCTGCATGCATGCATGGATGCATGTATGTATGCATGCATGTGGAAGCCTATGCAGCTCTGCATGCACGCGCACATGTACACCTTTTTCTGGCTTGCGTTTGTTCGTTTATCTTTACTTATCTGCCAGTCTCTTGATTTCTCTCGTTCTATCCCTTCCTCGCGCGATCTATTCAACTAGGCACCCGACATGGACAAATACATGCACTGCGAGCGTATTGTTATTTACTTCACACGCGTTTCAGGAATGCTTGAATCAACAGACCTTTAACTTGCTGCCAGCATCCCATGACCTACTGAGAGAACTTGGTGCCCCAAATGTGAAGGCGTGCACCGCGTTTCTCAGGATCGCCAAGGTCAAGTTCCTCCGCGAGGCAGCAAAGTGGGGAGCTGAGAGGTCTGATGCCACCGGTAAAAAGGTACTGTGATGGCTTACTGTATAGTATAGTATAGTACAGTACAGAGCATCACTGAGTGTGTTCGTACGCGTCTGTGCCTGTGCAGGCTTCTTTTTCGAACTGCATCAGAGACTGAGGCTTGGGTTTTCGCGTGATGCGAAGGACTTGTGGAGAGCTTTAGACAAGGACCCCCTGCCATCTTACAAGCCTTCGCGGAGACATTTGTCTGGCCTCTCTGTATCGCAAGACTTTAAAAAAGAACGGGACTGGCAGGATGAATCCGGAACAGCTTCGGTGGATGAGTTGGACCCGGTGGCCAGCAACTTAGAAACCAGGAGCCTGAAAGCAGAGGATGGAATCCAAAGGGAGCCGTAGATGAGCCTCCGATGCTGTTTCACTGAACCTCAGGGGGCTGAAACTCTCGCCCACTTCAAGGCGGGGTTTGGGCTTTGTGGGTTTCGGGCAGTGTGTCTGGGTTAGGCACTGCTCGAGGGTTCCGGAGTTCATGTTGAGGGATGTGGAATTCAATTGACATGCGGGTGTATACAGGGGTGTTCTTGTAGCACAATGTCGATTATTTTCATAAGGACGCTGCGTGTGACCGTGCTGCAGATCAGCCCACGATGCATGTCTACTGGGTGACATTCTGGTGAGACCTGCTCCGAACCCCTCACCGGTCACGCGGGCATTGTGGTAGTGTACCTCATATTGAGTATAAAGTATACATTGTATAGTCCTGTGCGCATCCTTACTTTTTCGAACCCCCTATATTTAGATACGATCTGTCAAACCAGGTCTGGGTGGACACTGAGTTCGGTGGCATACGGAACGCCTTCAGGCAGATAGATGATGCTTGGGCTGTTCAGGTCTGGGTTTTGGGTTGAGGGTCCAGGGCGGACGTGGGTTCTGCAAAGGGTACATCAGTAGTCTAAATTAGGGTGCCTTTTTTGGTCCCCAATAAAGTACGGCACCCTTGTAAAAAGAGCCTCCCAAGGGTTCCTAATCTAGAGAATTGCCCACATGTCGGATGAGTTTGGGGCATACAGCTTGGCTCATACCCAGCTGCCGCCCGAGGAAGACAACACCAAGTTCCTTGGTTCTTGTTCAGGAACTTAAATGTAAGTTACGACAATACGGATCTATGGAAAGTAGCAGGTTTTCCTCATTATTTTATTGCTGTCATTATGGTTGTGGCTTTCTATCCTTGGAATGACTGGAGAGCAGCCAGGAGATTTTCTGTGAGAATCCTATGAGGTTCCCGTAAGAGAGGCTGTGTGGTCAAGGAAGTCCTGAAAGATTGTCTGCGAGGTTCCTGGTGAGGTTCGCCGTGAGGTGTGCTATGATGGGTTTTTGTCAGGGCTTGGGTGTTGTGAGGTTTCCTCTCGCTCGGCGCTGCCCCGGCCTCTGCCCCAGCTCCCCCCAGGCCCTTCCACGCCCTTTGAGGTTTCTTGTGAGGTTTCCTGTGCCCGGTCTCTCACCAATGTACTCGCAAGCCTGCAGTTCCTCGCAAGCAGCCGCGCAGGCTAAACACTCACAAGCATGATTACAGGGAGCCTCGCAGAAAAACGCTTTTCATAAAATCAATGATTCCAGGGCAACATAAACTCACACGACTATTGATACTATTATTATTGGCTCAACAATGCAAGAGGCAACAAGATGTTATTGTTATTGCTATTGTCAGTAGCATTGTTGTTGTTATTATTGTGAAGCTGTTATTCTTCGAGCAACTGAGAGTAAGCTCCTTAGCAAAAGCCTAGGTCCATTACGATCAAGGAGTTCGACAAGGCCCTACGGAACTTCAACTTCCCGAGGCAATCGAAAGCTCTGTGGCCCGGTTGCCTAGGGGCACGGGGCCCTGTATGTAGGGGTTACGCTTTAGGGTTTACCCAGCTGATTGGCAGAGTCTGAGTTCAAAAAAGGTTTCAGGGTCTTCAAGCAGGCTCTAGTTCTTCGGGTTTCGGCAATCTGGGCTTTGTGCCGGATTGCACGATTACGAGTTCTCTTTTGCTACTCGTAATTGGTACAGTGTCGTTAGAGCGGTTGGCGCAGCAGTCCTTTATGGTTCTCGATTCTGCGTCGCAATTGTGAATCCTAAACCCTAAACCCTGAACCCTAAACCCTAAACCCTGTGAAGCGGTTCCAAGGTTCCAGATGCTGGACAAGGACCTGCCAGCCGGGTTGACGCAGCTCAGGGCTGGTCCGTTGGAATTTTAGGGAAACGCACATATATTTATACACATGTTTGTATATATTATATTTTACTTTTAATTCTAGCTGATATTGGTTATCGTGATGCGAACACTCATATGCTTCCACGGGCAGAGTTTCCAGTGAGTAGAAGAAGGATAGTGTAAGCCGATTCCTTTTATCGAAGTCCGTGTCCCAATTACTGCCTTTTCGGTGCAAGACCAGTTATTGACAACTGACAGCAGAGTCCAAACGGCCATAGTAATGTGTACCAAATTTAGTCTTCAGCACTCTCCCCACAACTTCCGAGTCTTTCCGGTAAGTGCCTACCTGAAACAACTTCGGGCTTCTATAACTTTGTATCAGGATCTGTATCAGCATCCAGAGATCCCACGAAACAGTAGGCCATGGTAGTTCCGACAGTGGTTTGGGATTCAGAGCCTTGCCAGGACGCGAATGGAAAGCTGGAAATGGAGGATCTCATTTTCCTTGAGCTCCCTGGCGTTTCAACGTACAGAAGCACATGGCCTTCAGGGCACTGCCCCATTATGCGAGCACACCATCAAATCCAGGGGTTCGGGCCCTCTCTCGCTGGTGGCCATCGAACATGGTGGGAGTACATGAAGTATCAGAAGTAGCTGCAAGTATAGGTTGTCATGTTGACTTAACCCTAAACCCTAAACCCTAAACCCCGAAACCCTAAACCTTCCAGAGCAGTAGCAGTGCTTAGCAGAAGTCCTCCGTCGTCGTAGTAGCAGTCGTGAAAGTAGTCGTCGTCAGGGTGGTGGCGCCGGTGGTGATGAGGTTAAAAGGTGTATGACAGGTTACAACTTCATCATAGCCCCGAGTACTAACCGTCAGCCGGATAGCTTCAGTGCTGGTCCATGGCTGCATAGCACCCTGGACCAGACGACATGAAAGACAGTTACTTTAACCCTAAACCACTCAACCTTTTATCAAGAGGCGTGTAGTATTCCCGCGGACTTGCCCTCAGTCCTGTCAGTTCACTTCCAACGAATTCCTTGTGGTGCGACTGTTTCAGGTGGGCGGCTGGGAGAGAAGCCTTTCAAGCCCTAACCCGACCGAACTAAGCCCGTAGCTTGCAGCCGGCTCAGGAAATGGCAGCCACTCGAGTTCCTCTTGATGGCCCCCGATCACCAGGCCAAGCAGGAGTTTCGGGAGCTCTTGCTTGCCCCGGCCTTAGAATCGGCCATGCCGCCTCTTGCTTGGCTCTTGGCGTGTTTGTTGTGCAGCCTGAAATATGGAAGTTTCCGAAAATAAGGGGTACCTTATTTTGGGGCCCTTATAAGGATCCTATTATTTAGGGTACTATATTAGGGTCCCCTATTTCGGAAACCCCCATATTGCTCTCTGACCTGTTTGGGGAGGTTGCCTTCAAAGGTCGAGTCTCATCCTTTCCTCCTCTAGAGTGCCATGCTGCGCTTGATAGGGTTCCAAGTCCTAGGTGCTCGGACGGAGCTGAGGGTTCCCTAAACCCTACACCCCTGAAGCTTGGAAGCTTCTCCGTCGCTCCGAGGCGAAGATGGGAAAGTACCTGAAAGCCTGGAAGCGCATCCTGGACAAGGATGCCACCAACCGCTGCAATTGGTACGAGTTCCAGGCAGGGGCGAACGCGGCCCGGGCCGCGCCGCGATCCGCGCTCCCCGTTTTTGACCCTAAACGCCTAAACACCAACACCTATGCTTCGTATACCATGTATATATATATATATACTATCTGCAATGCAGAGTCAGAGATGATGATGCCAAGCGGGAGCCAAATATATACTATGTATCTATCTATCTATCTATCCATCCATCCATCCATCCATCCATCCATCCATCCATCCATCCATCCATCTATCTGTCGATGTATCTATCCAACGATCTATCGATCCATCGATCTACCTGTCTAGCTGTCTATCTATCTATCTGTCTATCTATCTATCTATCTATCTATCTATCTATCTATATGTATATATTCTGGATATGACGTATATGTGTATATTATGTATACATGAATGACTGACTGACTGACTGACTGACTGAATGAATGATTGAATGAATGAATGAATGAAATGCATGAAATGAATGAAATGAATGAATGACCGAATGGAATGAGTGAATGTCTGAGTGACTGAATGGCTGAATGACTGACTGACTGAATGACTGACTGATTGAATGAATGAATGGGTGGATGAACGAATGAATGAATGACTGACTGACTGACGGACTGACTGCATGAATGAATGAAGGGATGGTGCGACATTGTCAGCTGGGCGGGTGGGAAAATGGATGGATGAATGAATGAATGAGGGAAGGGAATGGAATGGAATTGATTGGATGAATGAACTGATCAGTGAACGAATGCAAGACTGAATGAATGGAACGAATGAATGGACTGAATGAGTGGAATGAATGAATGGACTGAGTGAGCGAACGAACGAATGAATGCCTGAGTGAGCGAACGAACGAATAAATGAATGAGTGAATGAATGAATGGAATGAATGGAGTGAATGGAATGAATGGAATGAATGGAATGAATGAGTGGATGGATAGATGGGTGGATGAATGAATGAATGAATGAATGAATGGAATGGAATGGAATGGAATGAAACAAAAAAGAACTGAAATGGCATGAAAGGAATGTATGTATGCATGCATGCATGCATGCATGCATGTATGTATATATGTATATATGTATGTATGCATGCATGCATGCATGCATGCATGCATGTATGTATGTATGTATGTATGTAACAGCACTCAAAGTCTTCCGCTCGAGCTCGCAGGATGCTTGTAAAGAAATCGGCTTCCGCGGGAACATGGGCGGGGCCTGGCGGGCCTTCGACGAAGACTTGTCAGGACGCCTCGGCGCTGTGAGGGATTTGGTTAGGTTTTCCTTTGCGCGAGTCAAAGTATCGTATTGCTCTGTGGGTAGTCTTCATGCTGTTCATGATGTTCAGCATATCTGGAGCATATGTAGCCGTACCACGTCATGTGCTGGAACTTAGACCTGTGGGGAACTTGAGTTTAAGAAGACCCCCCCTGAAGACTTGGTTCATTGCTGAGATCTTGAGTGGGCATACCAGGTAGCCAGACGGGGTTAAAGATGGTCCCTAGCATTAGCCCTGAGGGTTTATTGAGACTTATTTGCCATATAAAGCCCTCCCCCCAACAAAAATCCCAAGACCCAAACCCAAACCATAAACCAAGTGACATGGGGTACACTGACTTTCACTCCGACTGCGCCTGAGATCTCACCTGGATCGTCCGAGATGTGAGAGTGTAAGTCCCAAAAGCCTTAAGCCCAGCTCTCGCAGGTTACATTACCCTGAAAGAGCTCGACGAGCAGGCTGCGCCCAACGGTCCGCCCTAGTCTGTAAACTACACATTGCACTGGGCATAAGGAGCATCTCCGTTAGGGTTTTGGACTATTTGAGGTTTTTTAAAGGGTTCGTGATTAGCCGGGTTCTGGGCCACTAGTAATTGGGGTTTGGGGTCAAGGGTGCGTTAATGGCACCGACACACTCGCCCACCCAGTTGCCGACACCAGCACCGTAAAACATCACATCTCACATGTAAACAAACATGTATATGTACAGGTACATGTATACATATATGTATAAGTATAAGTATATATACGGGCGCAGCCACGCGGGAGCCAAAAAAAAGTGTATATACAAACACACATCGTTTAGGATGTTATGTTTTTGGTGTGAAGGCATCGGCGGTCCTCCTGGGCTTTCGACGCTGGGCTATCCAAGAGCCACTTGGCTGCAGGACTAAGGCTTCTGTCAGCCGGCACCTGCATACGAAGCTAGCGACCGCGAGAATCCGCAAGCCCCATACATGTGTCTGGTGTCGCCAGAACTATACTACAGTGTACTATAGTATGCTGTACATACTATAATGACATTAGTATACTACACTGAATGTTGAGACAGTCTGCACTCCAAAAGAAGACAGGTTTGGATCGGTCCGGCAGCTTTTCCAGATCTTCGACAAGGATGGGTCCAACAGCCTCAGCTGCTCGGCTGTCAGGTTTAGGATTTGAAGTAGGGCGGCCTGGTATGATCATCCTGCAATGCTTCCACCGTGGACGTAGCTTCAAGCCTACCCCCTGAGGTCAGGTTTCCACCTGTTGGCGTCTCGGGTTGGGGGTTCTTGTAAGGCACAGCTCGAATCGAATGATGCGAATTCAGTAAGACGAAGAGTTTATTGAAAGCAGCTCCACTAGGTGGCCAAGCCCGAAGCCCAAGCAGAGCCCTTCAACCTAGAGGGCCGATGTGCTTGCCAGAAACCCCAAGAGCTTGGTTGCTGTCGTCGATTCGACTTTTTGTTGCGAAGCGGCCCGAACCAGGCTTCCTGGAATGGCGTGGGGCTCTGAGGGTATATGGCACCTTGGCATACACGAAATATTTTGGCAACGACTGGCACTAAGACTAAAGAGCATACTGAATATCACGGACAATATCAGCAGTCATGACTCACGGCAGTGGTAGTAGTCTTACAGTAACCTCATCAAAAACAGATGCTTCCAACTCGAGCTTACGTGTCTGTATTTCTCCCGTGGGGCTCAAGATGCTCAAGTCAAGTTGCTAGCAGACCTCAGATTCACCCGGCAGCTTGTACCTCTCTTTGATGATTCTGGTCATGGTTATTGTTCTTATGAGTACTCTGATTGTAATCATGGTTACGAGTAGGTAGGCTGACGGCAGCGCATCCGAACGTGCCAGCTCAGGCTACGATGGACCCAGCAGGATGGCCTGCTGGGTGCTGTGGGGCCTTGAGATTTTGCCTTCAGGCTTCGAGGAAGGCTTCACAGGCTTAAGACTTAAAACTCTGCCGCCCAACATATTCGAGAAGAAGCCCTAGACGCAAAAGCCCGTGACTCTTGTCGTAGATCGTTTCTTTAAAAGGAGAGGAAAACAGTTGATGTGCTGGTACAGTAATGGGGGGGACTCCATGCTGACAGATTTGCTTCCGACGCACAGGGAGCTGTTCCAAGCTTTGGACGTGGACCAGGAGGGCACCTTGTCAATGAAGGAGGCCGCAATGGGCGACGCAAGATGCTTGCAATGTCTTGTCAAACTTCGTCCATGCCTGGAGGTGGACTTCTTGGACGACTGGGATCTAGACCTGGAGGAGGAGCTGCCAGAGAGTCAGAGCCGACGGCCTTCCAACCAGCCACGGCCGACGAGCCCGGTGGATTGGATTGTCATTACAGGTGGTTGATATTGTTTTCAGTCTTATGTTATTGCTATCGTACCTGTTGATGTTATGCTTACAAAGTAAGCCGTGGCAGAAGGCAGCAGCACGATGGCACTGAGAACGATGGCAAAAGAAACCCACATGGTGTTGGCATTGTTGGTATTTCGTTGTGGACAAAACGAAGTGCTTGCTGTGTCACAGAAGGAGATGACGTCGTCATCGTTGTCGAGGTTGTTGATTGTAGGTTCATCTTTCTTTTATGTTTTTTTGTGGTGGTTGTGGTGGTTGTGGTGGTTTTGGTTGCGGTTGTGGTGGTGGTGGCGGTGGTGGTGGCGGTGGCGGTGGCGGTGGCAGTGGCAGTGGCGGAGGTGGTGGTGGTGGTTGTGGTGGTTGTTCTTGTTGCTGCTGTTGTGGCTGCTATCGTTGTCGTTGTCGTTAGCGTTGTCGTTGTTGTTGTTGTCGTTGGGGCAGTGCGCGGGTGTGCCTTGTTGATGTGGTTGTTTTGGCGGTGGGTGTTGGTCGTTGTTGGTTGTTCTTTTGGTGGTTGTTGTGGTTGTTGCTGTTGTCGTCGTTGTCGTTGTTGCTGCTGCTGTTGTGGCGGCTGTTGTGGCTGCTGTCGTCGTCGTCGTCGTTGTTGTTGTTGTTGCCGTTGTTGCTGCTGTTGTTGCTGCTGTTGTCGTCGTTGTCGTCGTCGTCGTCCTCTTCGTCGTCATCGTCGTCGTTGTGGTTGTGGTTGTGGTTGTGACTGCTGTTGTTGTTGTTGGTGGTGGTGGTGGTGGTGTTGCTGTTGTTGTTATTGTTCTTCTTGTTCTAGTTCTTACTCTTCTTGCTCTTGTTATCGTTATTGCTCTTGTTCTTGTCATTCTTCGTGTTGTTCTTTCTGTTGTTGTTGTTGTTGTTGTTGTTGTTGTTGTTGTTGTTATTAATGTTACTGTTCTTATTGTTCTTGGTCTGCTTTTCTGTTTCATGTTGTTGTTAGAAGCTCCATCACAAGTAGGAGTGACAAGTAGCAGTGCATAGTCACAGTCTGTTGAAGAGGACCTCTGGCTTTCGAAATGAAAAGCAGAGTTGGGCTGCAAAGTGTGGTAGTGCAGGCAACCGGCAGGAGGAAGAGAGGTGTCAACAAAGAAGCCCAACAACAGACAGCGAAGGCAGCCCGTCGTGCGGAAGCAGCGCCGAAAGGCCCCCACACGACCTCGGCACGACGACTTTCCTACGCCAGACGGGCCTCCTTGCAGGAATCCGTGCCTGGGGCTGAACGGTTTTCTAGAGAGGTAGGGATGTTTCTATCGGTTTGCAAAGAGCTTGGGTGATGACATCGAGGTGGTCGGAAGGGTGCGGATGTTGAAAGGCAGGTTAAGTTGGAGTTGTATGCAGAGCCTATAAAGTCTGGAGTTTGGAATCTGCTGCTCATGGGAGTCAAATAAAAACCTGTGTTCAGCTGGTGCAGCTCTGGCTATGCTAGAGTTTCTGACAACCTGTGCGTCGAAGCATTGCTTTACAAAGATGCCTAGAAAGGTTGGGTGTTTTTGTGCAGTGAGTGCAGTTGCAACTTTAAGCAAATGCCGCGCCGCCAGCCTCCACAACATCTCTTGGGCTCCTCCATTGCAAGTCGTCACAGCTGTCGACGTATCACCCGTCAAGCCATAGACTCAAGGTCTCGTACTCGTAGGTTTTAGGACCGCCCCACGCTTGTTTTTCGTCTCGGGCCTCTAGGGTCAAGAAGCCACACTGCGCTTCCCTGCCCCAAGGCCAAATCGCGGGCTGCAAGAGTGATGTCGAGCTCTTCCTTCAACACGAAGGAAGATGATATGCATAGACAAGCATCAGACGCATGTTGGATTCTCAAAACATGGGACACTCTATCTAGAGATTACTATTATATGGCGGATCCTAGACTTTTCAGGGGCCCTACGGCTCAAGGGTCCCTGATCGTCTGAAGCCTTTCTTTAACTTCTTAAGCCTTCTGTCTTTCCGCCAAGCCTTCGTATCCTCCTCCAAGTCACTCACGAGATTCTCGTTCCCCTGCTGCAAGCGAATCCCGGCTTCTTGCTGCACATGGCGCCCGTTTACGTTCAGTGTTTAGTGTTTAGGGTTGCAACAGAAAAGCCAGCAACATGTGCAGCATGTTCGGGTCCTTATACTCAGGATGACCCTGTTACCCTGCCGCAGTTGCCTGAAGGCTCTATTACGACAAAGTAGGAATTGAAAGAACTACCGAGCGGAAATGGAAACAGGGACAATTTGAGCTGCTGCATGCCTATTTGCAAGTACGAAGGCTCTAAGCTAAACCTCGTTGGGTTACTAACACCATGGTCAGAAGGCGATTTCACAAAGACAACGTTTCATGCCATTACCACCGCCATCGTTACACAGCTGTGATGATATCTAAATCCCAAACCGTGGACCTGCCTTGCGCTGTCCGTGGTGAGGGACTGAAACTAAAACAGCACAGCCCCGAAAGACTCACGAGAAGCCTTTAGACCCAAGAAAACTTTGATAGCTTAAGAAATCCAACGCCCAACAACTCCTGAACCCTGAACCCTACGCCCTACCCTAACCCCTAAGCCCTGCCCTAAACCCTAAAACCCAAACCCTCAGCCAGGACGACGACAGCTCTGATAGCTCCGAGCCAGAGAGGCCGAAGAACATCGCACGGCGCTGGCGGGTCCAGAACCCCATGGGCCTGATCCAGCTGGTGACTCCGTTGAGGGATGTCTAGGGTGCGGGTCTGGGGTTTGAGGGGCAGTTTAGCGTTTGAGGGGGTTTGGGGTTTCAGGGTTTGGGAGAGTTAGAGTTGAAAGCCAATGTTCCCCCAAAAATTACGAATGTTTCAGAAAGAGTTCGAAGTTACTGTGAGGCACATGGTGACTTCTTAGAGAAGGATTTTAACGCGTTTAGGGCCAAGTTTGCTTTTCCTGGTTGTGGCGACTCATTTAAGAAACGTAGGGCTTGGGTTGTTTAGATCATGTGGAAGGTTCACGGTTCAGTTGTGGCTTAGTTGTTAAGCTGCCGGAGGTGAGGCTTTAGCTGGCTTAGGATCTATTTTGCTTGAAACAAGGCTCCATCTCCAGATGCAGTGCAACCAATGTCAAGGGCTTTGTCAGCCTGCACGCCTCGCAGCTAACAGCCTACAGAACCAGGTGAACAAGGTGATTCCCAAGAAGAAGCCCAGGCGGGACCATACTCTGCGACACCTGGGACCGTTACAAGATTCATGGTGCCATAGGGCTAAGCGTAGTTAACACTAGGCTGTCCTGCGAAATTCCATTTGCCGGGCTTTTACTCCCTCCCCCCTGCTGCAATGCCCTAAACGGCTTGATCCTCCGAGCCGGAACCCTTGGAGAACTTCAGACTTGGGAGCCGGAATGCGGAAGTTTGCAAAAGCCTGCATCCCAAAGTGAAAACCCATCTCTCGAATCAGTTTCCTCCTTTAGCTGTTGGGACATCCTACTCATACTGATTAAATGCGGAGGAGTCTTTTCGTAGGGCCACCTTCATAAGGCACCTCACGATTTGTAAGAAAACCCCTTGCACACCCATCGTGTCGAGAGCGAGCAGGTTTTACATGTCCAACGGCGTGGTCATGGAGCGCTCCGAGGTCAGCCTGCTACTGACACAGTGTATAATGCGTTACTCGCAGAAAGCCATCGAGGGCTTCAGGGTGTGTGGAGTAGGAGGGTCTTAGGGCTCGGGCTTCCAAGACGAGATGGTTTCGAGTCGGTCGGACCTTCGGGTCTCGGGTTTGCGTGTTGGGAAATGGGATTCGCAGGCATTCCGACACGGTTCCTTGCACAGACTGATTTCAGACTTCCAAGACAACGGGAAACATCTTGGGACTGAGATGGGGCAGCGGTGGAGATGCTTTCATGTTCATGTAAAAAAGCTGCTAGAACTTCGCCGTCGCAGTAAGTAGACTCAAGCCCTCACATCCATCAAGTTCGTGCTCGAGCCTTTGGAATTCCGTTTCATGGCAGGCTAGCAGGGATTCCACTATGAGTCGGCCACTCACCCAGGCGCTGACGCAATCCGAGGCGGGGTACAAGTTGGGAATAGTTGGGACTTGCTAGAGAGTGAAAAGCTTGACTAGAGGTTTTGGATTCAGGCTGAGACAAAGGTAATGTAGCCACAGCATGTTCCAGAACGTGCCATCGGTCCATTAGTTCAATCGGCGCCGACCTCAGGACTGATCAGCGATAGATGCTGCTACTAAGTACCACAACGTCACACGACGACGATGACTACTATTACTATTTCTTTTTCTCCTCCTCCCGGCTACTGCTGCTACTACTTCTACTACTACTGCTACGACGACGACCACGACTGCTACAACGACTGCTACTGCTGCTGCGGCTACTACTGCTACTACTACTACTACTACCACCACCACCAGTACCACGACGAGGCAGTCGTAGGGAGTTTCAGAATTCAGGCGGAAGAAGAGCTTTCACTGAGCCATGACCTTTCTACGACTTTGAGCCGGCCGACGACGCAAGAAAGGTTCCTGACCTTTTCGGAGGAGGCTCCGTCTCTGCGAATCCGGGATTTGTTCAGTTTCGTATGTAGGGTTCAGTGTTTATGGCGATTGCACAAGTCCAGATGCAAAAAAAGGGCTTTAGGTTGTTGGAACATGCAGAGAGGACTCACGTGAATAAGGTGTCGGGGTTCTTTGCAGCGAGTGGAAGGAGGGGTGTGTGTGTGTGTGTGTTGCACGAGATGCGTGCTTTCAGTTTTCTAGAAGCAGTGCAGAGACTGGTTCATGTTGCACGTGCACGCTTCCTCTAGAGGCCCTGAAGCCGGACAGAGCCACAAAAGCGGCGTGTGCCCCTACCCAACGGAAGAAGTAGCATCGAAGCGCGAATCTTCCTACGCATGTACCAACGTGCAATGGCAGGTAAACGGTGAGCTTTTTCTCAGCCGGCCTATGACACGGTCCACCTTGGAGTTTGGAGAGGCCGACCAAACTAATCCCGAACAACCTTATTACCAATGCATCTAAGAGCCATACTCGCACATGAACCTGC